AGCCGAGGAGGAGCTCCCACGGTGGTGGTGACAGGAGGTCACTTCCTCAGTGGTATTGCTGATAGCTGGGGTAGCCTGGGGCCGGGGTACCCTCCTTAGGGGGCAGCTGGCTGGGGTCCTCCAGGAATGGGGGTGCAGTGCGGAACTGCTGCAAGTGAGGAGGATGCCAACATCCTCGATGAGGGCCAACAGAATGCCTCCCATTATTGCCGAGCCCACCATGGCCAATGGGCCACTGCAGGCAGCCAGCACAGCCCCGGTCAATGCTCCACTGGTGATGGAGTTCCAGGGATCTTCCTTGCCCCGCAGCCGCACCAGACCGCAGTCGATGGTGGAGAACAGGCTCCCCCGCACCGCGAAGCTACCTCCAATCTGAGGGGCTTGGATCCTCACAGCGTTGACACCGCCTCTCATTCAGTGCCGAATTCCGACAGGGGCATTGCGGAAGCCCTTAATGGCCTGGAAGACTCCACCGCCGATTACACCCATAGTGAAGGCTCCACCGCAGTCATCCACAACTCACCATGGGCAAGGCTCCCAAGCGTACTCCTCCATGGCACCCTATATCTTATTTTTAAAATAACTCTATCAAAGTGCTTAATGGCTGGATATTCCATCCGAAGTTCCTTAACTAGTCCCATATTTTGATATATTTTCTTGCACCCATTTTTGCCGCTATAAATTATGTTGCAATGGATATATCCCCACACTTAGCTTGTGGTAGACATTGCTGGTTGCCTACCCCAAATCTACTGAATACCTCCCTCTCTTCATTGTGAACAGAAGCCCAGTTCTGTTGGGGTTGTTACAGTCCATTTAAGCTGAGGGGGTGAACAATCCTGTTTCCTGCTTTCACGGCTTCCACTGTTGGTAGCGTAGCCATATAACCCAATTCTGGCTAATGAGACTTAAGGGAAGGCTGCTGCAGGGATCCTGGTAAAGCTTTTTGCTTTCCTAGTAAAAGGGATACATGTGACAATGCCCCTTCTTGTTGCCTTAAACTTAGAAGAAATGTCTATGAAGGTAAGGTATTATCAGCTCCATTGTACAGACAAGGAGACCTGGGCACAGAAATGCCGAGTAACTTGCCTGTGGTCATACAGCTGTCAGTCGGCATTCAAATCTTAGTGTGTGGCTCCAACACACTAAGAATGACAAAGCAGAAAAGGAACCCAAGATCTCGAAGGCATCGCTGAGCAGCTGAACCCAGGCCAGCAACTGTTTACCTCCAGACTTATGTGAGACTCCAATGTGGTTAGACTATTTTTATTTATTGGCTGCATCAGGGCTTAGTTGCAGCACCTGGGATCTTCTTTGAGTCATGCAGGATCTTTCATTGCAGCGAGTGGTCTCTTTGTTGTGGCACGCGGGCTTCTTTCTAGTTGTGGCCTGCAGGTTTTTCTCTCTCTAGTTGTGGCGTGCAGGTTCCAGGGCATGTGAACTCTGTAGTTTGCAGCACGAGGGCTCTCTAGTCGAGGTGCGCGAGCTCAGGAGTTGTGGCGCAAGGCCTTAGCTGCCCTGCGGCACGTGGGAACCTAGTTCCCCGACCAGGGATCGAACCTCTGCATTGGAAGGCGGATTCTTTACCACTGGACCGCCAGGGAAGCCCCAGACTATTTTTAGATATACTCTGTTAACTTGCAGCAGAAACAGACCCAAACACATCTTTTGAGCTGCCATATTTTGGACCATTCTCTTTGATTAGACTCTCAAAGTGTGTTTGAGTCAAATATTATGACTATTTTTAAAGGCTCTTGGTACACAGCACTCATTATTTTCCCTAAGAATTGTACTAACTCAGCACTCTCTTAGCACTGGGTATTGCTGACTAGAGTCAGAGGGTGTCAAACTAAGAATGACTAGCACCATCAATAAACCAGTGGAAGAAGGTGAGACTATAACCCCTCTGGAGTATTTTCAAATCAATCCTTGCCTTGCTTTTAAGGTGCATTCCTCTTGTGGTTTAAAAAAAAAAATTCATGAGTCTTAAGATACATTATCCCTCAGCCTCAAATAAGTTATTTTGTTTCTTACACAATAACACAAATCAAAACACAGGTACTGTAAAAGACTGAGAAAACAAACTAGAAAGAAAAAAAACCCTCACATGTGATCTCAATACCAAAGAAAATCACTTTACTATTTGGTGGCTTTCTTCTTGGGCTTTTATTATTCCCCATTTTCTTACAAGTGTAATTGGATTACACTGTAAGTATTTTTATATTTCGTTCTTTTATAATAAGCATTTCCTATTGTAAATATTTTAATGGTTGCATAATATTCCATCATATGGATAAATCATAGTTTATTCAACCATTTCTGGATTAACAAAACAACAAAAACAGAATCTGCAGAAGGAAGTAAAGTTACCACCTCAGGTATGTGCTATATACAAATATATGGTATTTAAATAGTACAGAATTAGCTACGCTCTCAGTTTTTGTTTTTTTTTTGCGGTACGCGGGCCTCTCTCACTGTTGTGGCCTCTCCCGTTGC